TAAATGCAACATAGATGCATTTTGGAATGAGAACTTAACTGAATGTGCTGTAAGGTGGATCTTAAGAGATGAAAAGAACGAAGGCTCTCCCCTTCTCTAAACCTGTTTAGGTCTTGAAGGCTTGAAGCAGTAGTTTTTCTTTAGGCTATATCATGTGTTGATCAACTTGGATTTTCAAAGACAGCGTTCGAGAGTCATTTTAAGCTATACACAACCCTACAAAATAGCCACCACTTAAGGATGTACAAGTAGACTTTTGAGATTTTTTTTTTATAACTTCGAAATTTGGATCTAAACTTTAGTTCATGTTCGGAGTAAATCTTTAGTTTGTTTTAATTGAGAATACTTCTATTCTTAAAAACGATTGAACTAGAGGCACAATAAAACTAGTTCTATTGTGCTAAACATTAGTCCACTACATTCTTGATGGATAAAAAAGAAAATTTCAAATTTTCGTTTTGACATGCTAATAAATTTGACGATAGTATTGCTAAAACAATCACTTCTTTACCCATTTACGATGTCTTAATAGATTTTAGTCATGTGTTGGAGAATGAAAAAATTGTAACAGTTAACTAATATAAACATTTTTTTTTGCTTCGAAATTAATATTAACATACAATTGCAGTATCAGTATGTTAGAGGACAAAAATACTTGATAAGAGATTAAAAAAAAGTATACTTTGTATGATAACTTTACATTCGTTCTATCAATAAACATACAACTCCAAGAAAAGAAAAGAAAAACGAGCAAATTTTGAAGTACCACCTGTTTGCCTGTTCCTTAAATCAGGTTTGGACCAAAATCAGAAACAACTACATGGCTCCGAATAATAACAGTGCGGTGCGGAGCGGGATATGTATAATACATGACAAATAGTAATAAAAATAGATATGTACATATGTATAAATATAGATTTTTATTAGATACACGTATGTAGGTATATATTTTTGTTACTGTTTAATGGGGGGCGGGATGGTGCGGATGGTTAAAATTCTACAAATAATGAATCTTTCCAATGTGAAAGACAACAAATTTTTTTATAAATAACATAAAAATCATTTCTCATGATTGGTTATTAAAGTTTGATGCCAAAATCTGTGAGAACTTTAATTCACTTTAATTCATGTTCTCTAAATGGTAGAAATAAAGGGATTTTATATGAA